AATTTTATTTACTGAACAGAGTAGTAGTTAACAAAATTATTCGTGTCCTAATTCCGTCTTGAAATTCTTTGCTTTTTCCAAGTTTTTTGATGTGCTTTATTTATATTTCAGGTAGGCGTTAGATTAATTAACATGCATTACTCCACTATCTTTAACTATTATTTATTGATAATAATTATTGATTTGTCAGTAAACCTCGATTAAAATAAATGCTTTTTTTGTCTTCAACGCAATTCTTTTTTCAACTATACCATAAACTTTCCAGACTCGCTTCGAACTTGTTCAATTCCACTTTTCTAATGGTGCTATTGAAGCTTCGCAAAACTTACTCAAAATGGTTATTTTTCATCTTTTTTATTTTCAAAAAGTTTATACCTATATTACAATGCATTTAAGGTCACCTTCTCCGATCCTTTATCGCCATTATTCGCCATTGACAATAAAGTTCTGAATGGCTACTGTCGGGCATTGAACATTCAGTCTCCAGTACCACCATCTTCTCCAACCGTTAAACAATTTTTACCCGATCAAAATGTAATACTTCGTGTAATACTATTAACTCAAGAAATTTTCGTTCTTCAAGCATTTCTTAAAAAAAGATAGGTCTTCTAGTTGCTCACAGACGACTCATCTATTTTTCGCCGTCTACGAATGTGGAGGTTACGAGCAGTCAAGCGGTCTGCTGGCCAACTCCAGGTGCTCTTTTATATTGACCACTCATTCTTAGATTTACGTTTCTATACGCTCTTAATATGATAGTGTTAACTGAGTATTTTTTCTACTCAATAGATACTCATAGTAGTGATCGTACTTCACTTTCAGGTAGCATTTCGCTCAGAAAACATAGCCAAAGACGTCTTGGAAGGTTGTGCGACTTCTGTTCGTCAACGATTAGCTGAGAAAGTAGTGCAGCAGCGATTCATAAAGGTTTTGCAGTATACTTTATCACTCGAGGGTAAATAAGGCACAAATTCTTTGCCTTGATATTATGGTGGTGTATGAATGCTACTGGTCCATACAATTTGAATAGATGTCTTTTATCAAGTCAGTGCTTCTTACCATCCCAGATTGCTCTAGTATCGATCCACCAATTCCTGAAGGAAGAAAGCTATGGTTGTTCTAGGGCTTAACTCGAACCTGCGTATATTCAGACCACTGTATTATTTGGACTCTTTCACCATTGCGTTATGCAGCCCTTTTTGCTGCAATTGCTACAATTGTATAAATAAATGCAGTATCATCTTTCAAATAATTACTGTAAGGAACCGGTCGCCCGAGGGCACAGTGAAACTTCAGAAGTTCATGTTTTTAGGAGTACTACTTCTCTTACCGCGAATCCTCCAAACTGCATAGCTTGTTGTTAGAAGGTGACGACAAGCCAACTTGAATACCGTATACGCGAGTTCAAGTTGGTATCTAATTCACTTGAGTTTTCCTTCCTGCATAGGTCGGTTAATTGGTACTAGAGTAATCATAGAGGGTAGGTATCGTTATCTTGGTAACAGGCTAATCTTCGGAAGCCATTGTGTAGACCGTTTCCATCCCACTATAAATTTATGACAACAAAATGAATGATGCGTCTACCTAGAGATAGGGATCACATCACGTTAGAAGCCATAGTACTATTGCTGTATAGCTTTCCTGTTGCACTTTCTACTTGAAAAGTTTTCTTTTTTAAGTACGAAAATAGCGTGAAGACATGTGCTACTGAATTATTTGTTTCAGTCGTTACAAAGGCAGATGCATTTTGTTGTGGATGAAGTAAAACGGCGGCGAATTAACGCATTGTTGATGTTTCTTTGTGCAACAGTTTCTGGAATGCGTGAAGAGTTGTTGCGGTGCAACTGGAATACATCATCAAAACTCCGGCCGTTGGCCACACAGGTGCCGAAGTTGACAACGCCGCCACTCAACACTCAAATCGTGAAAAGTTCGTTATTTTTATAAAGAAGACAAATTTTGTTACAATTAATGTTCCATTACATGATGTTGCTTTGATTTTTTTACCTTGGAAATTGAGTTTCATGAGGAAGTAGGTGTCGTGATTATAATGTTACATTTCAATTAGTGTTGCCGTCACTTCATGAGAGAAGCAGGCAAGCTGGTCATGAGGAATAATAATGTGTAGTTCCAGTGGACAAGGCTGACAAGTTATCAGTGGCTATAATTAGAAAAAAAAAGTACTAAGCTACATTTTCTTGACCAAGAAAAGGCCCGGATACGGAAGTGTTGGATATCACCGATACCGCTTCGCCACCAGGATATAACAATTAGTGCCTCCTGAAAGGCAATGAAGAAAATCATTCATAATAAATCAGAGTTGGTATCAGTAGTAAAATAAGATGGAAGTTCTAGCCCTCGATTGAGATTAACTTTAAGCTTCGGTAATTTAAATAGTATGTTCGTTTTTTGATGGTGATGCTGAAAAACAAAAATTAATGAAGATCGCAGAGCTGAGCGAAGGTCGCGCCTACGTTAGGGTTAAGTGTTGACTGCTAGAGTTCGAACTTGGGTTAATTAAAACCACATATTAACAATACGTAAAAATAATACATGAAGGATAACGATTATTTGAGAATAGATTTACAGGACTATCATGGAGACATTGGTATACAATTAGATGATATTTGTTGATCAAGTAAAGAAGGTAAGGAGAATAAAGGGGGCACAGTGGCGCAGTGATGGAGGTGCCACGACGACACGCCGGCCCAAATCAGTTCGCGGCGCCGCCCCCAGGCTAACCAAACCCGACAACCCTACAGGATCGGTAAATTGATATGCGAGAAATAAGAGGGTAAGATAACTGGCACTCGCTTGATGAAGAATGGTCAACTCAAGTTACTGTGTAGACCAAGCTCGCATTCAACCATCTTCACGATATCACGTTGAACACGAATGCGTTGGCGCATTTCGCCACAAGGGATTAACTAACGCCAGAGTTTGTCTTATCTTCATTCTAAGATATTAGAT